CGTTGCCTCACAAGTGCAGTTTAATACGATATCCGCGGGCGGGATACTTAAAATTGAAGTATCGGTACATGCGATGCTGCTGTGACTGCACACTGCCGGGACCCCCTTCCTTGCTGGAAACACGGTAGGGGAGCCCCGGGGCTTGCAGCGGCAAAGTTGGGTCCCCCAGGTCCGCTAATTCGGAGAGGCACTGCCTGGCTTTGACCCCACGATCCCGCTTCAGCAAATAAGCTGATGGGAGGGGTATTGATCTGGTCTGTCGAAAATGCTGAGTGCAAACACCAGGAAAACAGGTACCCAAAGGGCAGGAAACGGGAGGATGTGTGGAGGTATCAGTACTGAGAGTTCCCACTGGGTATAATAGCTAACAAGGTGCACAGCTAAGCTGTCCCATGCCCGGGATGCGCTGCAGAAGCAGCAAGAACAGAGGTTCAATCACACACTGCATGCCACAGACCAGATTCCTGCCCAGGCTGCTGCTCACACCAGGCTTGGGAAGGGGGTGTGTGATGGTCCCTGGATCCCGAGCAGCCAGACGGGGTTAACAGGTTAGCTGACTCTAAAACACAGAACCTCTGCCGAAAAGTTAGGTGAGCAGCTCGATTTTGGATCCCTGCAGCATGCGGAGGCCGTGCAGTCGCTCCCCCTGCCCTACTGACCCCATGTTATTGCTGCACACCCTGGGACTGGGACAGGACGTTCCATAGCCAAATAGCCACCAGTTTTCATCACAGGCATCCTCAGGTTATAATGTCCAGGAGAAAAAAGGACATTTCTCCTCCTCCTCCCCTATAAACCCATCGCTTCCCATCCCAAAAGTATCTTCAGTGTTTTGTGTAACACTTTGCTTCCTCTCCAGGAGCTGCCAGCGTGGTTGTGGGTCACCCCTTGGACACCATCAAGGTAAACCACTTTGAACCATGTTCTCATGTCAGCACCCAAGCCCCCTCCAACAGCAAGCCTCTCTCAAGATGATGCTTCCAAGACCCTCACTTACCCCATCACCCCAAGGGGGAATTTAGCCTGGGTAGAAATGTTTTAATAGACTTTTTTTCCTCAATGCTCATTTTGAATGAGAAACTAAAAGAACTGGCTGATACGTGTGAGGATGAATGCTGCAAATTCAACCTGGCCTTACTTCATGTGTGGTTTAGCAAACAGTTTGGCCAATGTTTTATTGAACTTTGCCACAGACAAGTATTCAAAGGGCAACGGGGAAACTATATTTGTTTTGCTGCAGGCACGTTTTTACATGTTTTCCTAGTGTTGGCAATGCTGGAAGGGCAGAGTGCTGAAATTGTTACCCCAGGGCTGTGAGACACGGTATTTACTGTTCCTGCAAGACAACTGTTCTCAGAGGGAAGGATTTAGAGATGTAAGATGATATTTGCTAGCACAGTGCAGACAATACAGCCTGACCCAACCAAGTTGACTGACCCTGCTGATGCAGAGATAGAGGAAGATCCCGTTCCTTTCTCTTTTTGTACAGTGTGATAGACCTTTCATACCTTCCACTGCTCTGCCCATGGGCTCTGATCTGGTTCCAGCCTTGTTGCTGGCCCCAGGCAGGGCTGTCAGATGTGGCAAACCCAAGAGGCAGTGGTCCCATTTGCACCTTAGAGACCCTTGGAGGGCAATGGGAAGGAGAGTCCAGTGCAGCCCACACCACATCCCTTCCCAAGCCATCACAGCCGTCTTCTTACACACATCCTGGGATCAGGAGGTGGTTGCCAGCCCTACCCTTTCTGAGCTGCGAAGGTGGAATCAGTCCCAGGATCATTGCCTTTTGAGGATGGGTGCAGACCCCACACAGCGGAGCTGTAAGGCTGCCTGTGCCATCCCAGCAATGGGCACGGGCAGCACAGGCAGCTCTGCCCGGGGTTGCCAAGGCAATCCCACCTCAGGCTGGAGGTCAGGGCATCATTGCCAGGTTTGTGGGAGTTTGGCAACTATTGGGAGGGGATCCTGCTGGGAAGCATCGAGTTTCTGGATGCCAAGAAACAGCGAGCCCATCCTTCAGCGCTTATAAAGACAACTGCCAGGCTGACACCTCTGTTGCCCTCGGCTTTGGACATTGCTTGGGAATACCAAGTAGGCAGACTTGTTGCTTTTCCAAATTTAGGGGGAGGGAGGTGGAAAGGAGAGTGGTTTACACAGCACTAAGCCAGCACTGGGGCAGCTCCGCAGAATTTGCAGCATCCAGGGGATGTGGGGTCCTTCCCCACCTGGAGGAGGAGGTGGTGGGATGGGGTATGTGGTACCCACACCATATTTCCCATCCAGCAGGTCTCCTCCTTCATCTGGCCCCTTCCCCATATTGCAGCTCCCCTCAAACCCAAGCAGCTGCTTTTTCCCACGGCCTTGTAAAACTCTCTATAGTTTAACATTTGCTCACTTTTCATCCTCCACAGCACATTCCATGTCCCCAGAAACCTTCTTCAGATTCTGGGCATCACCCAAGAGCCCTTTCTAATCAAAAAACAGCAAAAAGGGGAATTTTCCTATGGAATATTCATGCTGGTATCAGTTGACTTTGCGAGAGATGCCAGCAGGGATTTCAGTGCCAGGTGTTTACAGCTTGGCTGAGGGGCATATGTGTGAGGAGCAGCTTGTGAGGACACTGTGTTTCCCTCAGTTACTCAAAAAATGCATTAATCTGAACCTCTAAATACCTGGTTACTGTGTAAAAGAAAAAACAACAAGCCCATGGAGACAAAATGGAAATGTCTGGGCTAAGCATTCACATGAAGCCAGGAGGGAAAGCAGGGCTGTGCATTGTGGCTGCTCTGTCCTGGGCTGCTCAGGGTGTAGGCACCCTCCCCAGTGGTTCTCCCCTATTCCCATCACCCCCAATGTGATTCACAGTGTGCACCGGTCTGCACCCATGGCCTGGGCCTGCTGGTGTTGTGCAATGTGCACTGCACGAGTACCAGCTTATTTGTAAGGGCTTAGTAAATACTCTGCTTTTGCTGCCGCCTTCCCCATGGCCTGTGGCTGAGCATGGAGCAGAGCAGTGGTACTCAGCGTGTGCAGAGAGCAGCACAGAGCAGCCCCACAGCAAGAGGTGACCCCAGGGCTTCAGTTCTTCCCTCTCCCCAGCCAGGGTCCCACCACAGCACCCCACGGGCCAGGCTCTTGCAGGGTGCTGTGCCAAATGAATGTGCTGGTCATGGAATCCCAATGTTCAAGGCCAGGTTGGACACAGGGGCTTGGAGCAACCTGCTCTAGTGGAAGGGGTCCCTGCCCGTGACAGGGGGTTGGAGCTGGAGGAGCTTTAAGGTCCCTTCCAATACAAACCATTCTGTGATGATTGTATGATATATGTGAGAAGGCGAAAGTATGTGGAATCGTACAGGCTTTGTCGTGACTTACACACCATTTCGTACAGCTGTTGTAGGCACTTTTTGGCAGGCTCATAGCCAATCCTTTCCAGAAACATTTGTTGGAAATGATGTAAAAATATATTTTTGAGTGAAGTACGGAGAATTTCTGAGATGGAGCTGAATTATTTTGGCTCTGGTTAGTATTTCTGTGTCTTAAGATATACCTTGGATCAGAAGGGCCCTGAAAGCCTCCCAGGGGAGCTCACCCCTCCATCCTTGAGAATAGATCCCAACCTCCACTACAAGTCCCCAAACAGAGGAGACCACATCACTCTCCAATTTCCACATAAATCTGGACCTTGCCAAGGAGAGCACCATGTACCAGTCTGCTGTGCTTGGCCAAAGTAGCAGGTCTGGACTTGAGAGCAATTGACAGTCATCGATTCCAGATGTTGCAGAACACTTCAGACCTCTGTGGTCCTGTTTAGCCCTGCGGATGCACATATATCTTGTTTTATCACTCTGTTTTCTTTACAACTAAGGAAGGATTTGATCTCAAAGCAAAATGCACATTGTTTATGTAGCATGAGCTTGGGATTTTAACCGTGTTTTACGGATGTCTTTTGCAGACACGTCTGCAAGCTGGGCAAGGATATGGAAATACACTCAGCTGTGTTCTCACTGTGTACAGAAATGAGTCTGTAAGTACTTTATCTTACTGAAAATGAAAATAGATAAATAGATCAATGGATAAATGCATAAAGTGATTATACAAAACCACCGTTGACACCAGCAGTTATATGAAGATCAATGAAGTTGGCGCAATTGAGCCTGTAAATCCCTACATTCTTCTCTTGCTTAG